TATCTCTTTTCCTAGATAGAGCCATGGTACAGTGTTATAACTCATGTTGATGTATTTTTTATGAAAACTGATTGTGTACAAAATTTTGCTTCAATATACTCAATGAAATATTCAATTCTTATGGATCCCAATCTTGGGGGTAACAAGTGATGGAACTTGTTACTTCTACTATTAATAATAATAATGTAATGATAATGGTGATAAAATCCTTTGAGATCTTATATTAAAGTAACTCTCTTTACTGAGAACATTGGGGATGAAGGGAGTTTTTAAAAACATGCTTTACTTACTTTGAGAATACCATAAGAGGTTTCAGCTTTTCAGGCAGGAATATTTCTTCCTGGTTCCGTCTTACACCCTTAATGATCCGTGAAGCAGCATCAGCTGGTTCAAGGATCTCAAACAACCATGGGAACCTGCAGAGAAAAGGACAGTTAGTGTTGTCAATGTGTTAAAGATAAAGTATTTGATACAAAAAAGTGTACATAAATAAGAAAAATCCTATACAAACTTTTGGATTACTTGACACATAATTTTATTGCATACAATTATTAATTAATGTATAAAGCCACTACCATTATTTGTTTTAATTCTTAAATTACTTGAAATTATCTAAAAATGTAGATAGTAATAAAACTTGATTCAGAACACAGTAAAGAAGTAGAGCCACATGGTCTTGACACTAGAAGCAACATATACTTCATTAAAGATATGGCAAATACATCTCTAGCAATCCACGGGCTAAATGGTCAACACAAGGACTTACTTGAGATTAGGCTTGACATCATTCACATTGGAGATGAGGAAGGGGTGAACAGCAGTAACCCTCACACCACTCCTCCTCTCCATCCTCATCTCTTCTGCTAGAGCCTCTGTCATGCCTGGAAAGAAGGGGGTTCAATGCAAAACTTTTTTTTTTTTGAGACATTCAGTGGAAAGGAGTTAAACTTTCTGATAGTAATAGCATAGCATATGTATATTTATAGAGAATAATTTTAAAACTAATAGATTTATTAATCATGAAAAGATGTGCAGAAACAGATCAATAATGAAGCTTTATCTTTTCTGCAAAAATCCATAAATAATACACTGATACTCCCATGGATCATAAAAATGAAGTGAAAATGAATATATCATATTTATTTTGTGAGTAACTGCAACTACATCAGATTCTGCAAACAACTTTGGTCAATATTATTTAAAGATTAAATTTGGTTTTCTTGAATTTTTATCATAACATTTTATCAGCTCTTTACATACACAAATTTGACTATGGGGTATCATACCTTTTACTCCAAACTTGGAAGCACAATATGGCACAACATTACTCCGACCCATAAAACCAAGAACAGAAGATATGCAGACAATATGACCACGGTTGTGTTGAACCATGTGGCCAAGAAACTCTCGAGTCACCTGAAAACAAGCACAGAAAAATAATAGTTCATTTGCAAGATATTCCCTATTTTGACTTCACACATACATCAGTCTTTATGTTGCTTAAATTCCTACACAATGTTGTTTTATGAGGGTTATAGTTCAGCTTTGGTAACATACACTGGCAATACTAATGGATTGTTAGCATGGTCAAGAATGTTTCAAAAGTCTTGACAGAACAATATGCATAATGAAACCATGTATGAAATTCTTAGAAATGTACAAATGAGGAGCTTATGATGAGGTTTTAGAAAACAGCAAAAAGTATATCAGTTCTAAAAGAATCATTATATTGTGTACATAGTAATTGTAACTCCTAAAGATGGATTCCTATTAAGAGGTCCCTCCACCCCTAAAAACATAATAATCAATATATCAGACTAACTGCTGCAATAGATTAAGGTCAAATTTTAGAGATGTTAGAAGATAAATTAATGCACCAATCAGATGCTTAGTACAGTGACGTAAGGTGTGTACAATTACTTGATGTTCCAAGGGAAATCAGAAAAACTGATATCCAAGTTAAATATGTTGAAAATTGAAAATAATGTAATTGCAGCCTCTGATACACTTGAAACTTATAAATAAAGTGAACAAAATCATTCTGAAGTATGATGCCAATAAAAACTGAATTAAAATATAAACTACTAAATACTGATTGATAAAATTCCTTAAAAAGAGACTTAAAAAAGGTCCATATCTCCTTCCTTTAATGATTTCCTATTAAATGTTAAACCACATACCCTGAAATGATGTCAAGTGGACTACATCAATAATTGCATAGGTAAGTACCCTAGAGAAGATGGGAATATACTGTATGACAAAAGTGAGAGATATTTCCTTGTATTTGACATATCTAAATTTGAATATGATATGATGTAATCTACCAATTTAAATTTATATCAAACTTCGCTAACAAAGCATCTCTCATGATTTACGGCACCACCTCAAAGGTCAAGCTAACTCTCTGAACCTTAAAGAAACAGTCTGGAAAGAGTTTCTGAGCCTGTACTTAAATAATTGCATGTCTGTATTTTAATTGTTTTGCAACAGCCAATGTACTTTGTCACAAATCTGATGATAGACTGTATCTTTAAGTTGTTCTGTCTTTCTACATAAATAATGACTTTGTCAGTTGTTAGTTTTATAACTTGACTAAGATACTGCTGCATTATTCTACCATACAGTGAAAAACTATAAAGCTGAATTTGAATTTCCTCACTACTATATTCTGGATCTAACTACTCACAAAGTAAATAAGTACCATTAATTTTTCACAAAATACAGGTACTTCCTACACATTATTATTATTATCTACAGTTACAAAGTTCCCCTTTCCTCCTCCTCTTCCCTCTTTTTCTCTCTCTTTCTCACCATCTTTTGCTCTTGCAATTTGTTCTTTTATAACCCTGCTATCAAAAATGATTTGAAAGACAATAAAAATAATAGTTTGCATCACAACACAATATCCTTCCTTTTCCCAGTTCTCTGTTCCTTACATATCAGTTATATGTTTTCCTGCCTTATTACTCCCTAATGACTCATTATCATCAGTATTTATATTACCAATTAACTTACCCAGCTGTTCTAAATATACCAAGGCTGTCCTTAAGACTCCTACATGAATATGCTAAGGAGGACACACCCTCCTTAAACCCACAATGCCATAGGAAATAACCCAAATCTGCTCTTAGACTCCCTATAGTATGCTTTATTGCCATAGAGGTTTACCCAAATGTAACCTTCAGACTATCTGAAATGTCACAAGCTTTCCCAAATCTATCCTTAGATTATTTAAAATACACCAATAAGCTTGCCCAATTCTGTCCCTAGACTATCTAAAATACACCAACAGCTCACCAAAATCTGTCCTAAGATTATCTAAAATACGCCACGATCTTGGTTAGGTCTATCCGTAGACTACCTAAAATATGCCATGAGCTTAGCCAAATCTTGTCAAACTTGCCCAACAAATGTCCTTAAACTATCTAAAATATCCCACAAGCTTGCCCAAATCTATCTATCAAACTTGATCAAAGACTGTCCTTAGATTATGTAAAATAAGACATGAATTTGTTCAAAGACCATCCTCCAACTCAGATAAGGGGAACACACTCCCAAGGGCCTTACCCAAATGTTCCCCAGCAGGTTCACTTCCACGAGGCGCCTGACCTCCTGTGGCGAGTGAGCGAGGAAGGGCTTGTGCTCGTAGGTCCCCGCATTGTTGAAGACGAAGGCGGGATGACCGATGTCTCGCCTCACCTGAGGAAAAGGCCAGAGATTGAAAGGTGGCGACTTCCATCCCCTGGAAGTTTCTGGAGCCTAATGGCGAGGTGATTCTGCAGGGAGCCTTTTGTGTGTGTGTGTGTGTGTAGGGGGGGGGGATGACACGTTTCTCGGTAAGCAAGAGATACAAAATGGCAGAAAAAATACGAATCAACAAAAAAACATGTTAGATACTGCGAACTTCGCTTTGTATGTTTTGTAAATGGCAGTATTTGTTTATCAAAGAGATTATAAAATCATATTCTTGTTAGATAAGTAAAAGCAAAGAAATACAATGTACATCACGGCGTCCACATAACTGAAAACGAAGGAAATTTACAAAACAGGCGACCGAAAGAGTGATAAACAAATGACTAATAACAAATGCAGTAGCAACCAACCCTTGTAGCTGCAGCAGCAACAGCCTTCTGGTCGGATATGTCACACGTGAGGGTATAGGCTTCCCCGCCGATCTGTCGTATCATATCTGCAGTCTCCTCATTGTGGTTCTGAAAGAGGGCATTGCTGTTGGTTCTCTACTGATAAATAAAGCTTACAAACGTAACATAATTTCTTTCTTTTGAGAGGGTCATGTTTAATTTACTTCTGTTCTAGGACTTATTCTCATTGCTCGGAAAGAGTGAACTACTTATAATAACATCCAAGTTTTCCCTTATGTAGGCATCGGTTACTGCATGAGAAATTAAAGCAAATAAACTCTACTTACTTCATCATAATCCCACAGTATCAGCTTGGCTCCCATTCGCGCCAACTGAAGGGCAAGTTCGCGACCCAAGTTCTGGCCTGAACCTGTCACCTGGAGAAAGGCGGACAGAGGGTTAGGGAACCAATAGGTGTATGAGGGGTGAAACGGGGAGAGTGGGAGATAGAAAGATAGAAAAGGGGAAAGAGGGAAGAAAGAAGATAGGAAGATAGGGAGGGGGAAGAAGACGGATAGGAAGAGAGAAGAGAGAGACCACAGG